TTTATATGCTGACAAAAAAAAAGGAGCTGACTGGGTGCAGATCAGGGCTAATGTTTGCTCTAGGTCTGGCAGAATAACTTGGCTGCTCAGAGGCAGGGCATGGAGAGGCTGGTGGCTGCAGCATGCAGCTCAGAGTGAGGGAGCCGAGCCTCGGAGCCCTCCGGCACACCGGGAGGCCCCAGCTCAGTAAATCCTTCAAGATTGCACAACCTGGAACAAGTGAGCAGTCCTATGGTGGTGTTATTATGTGCCTTAGGTTATGCAAGGGCTTAAGTGTTTTGCTGGATAGGTGCCCTGATCTGTCAGTATCTTTTTATCCTGTCTTTAAAACAGCAATAACTATTCCTACATTGGGAAGGAAAATAATTTATTTAGTCATGATTGCAGAAAAGAGGAGGTCTGTAAATACTAAAGAAAATAACCCCAAAGTAGGGGAAACAGGAAAGTGTGTGGAATAGCATCCTGGGATGCTTATTTGGTAAGAGGCAGTTCTGTTTCAGACAGTGTTAAACTGCCCCCCTCTCTTACTCTGATCATGTGCCTTTAAAGTGGAAAACTACCTGGTAAACCTTGCAGGAAGATAGCTAACAAACAGGAGTCAAGTGGACTGTGTTCCTCACACATAATGAATAGATGCCTTCACATCTCAGCAAAGCCTTTGAAAGCAGTGTCCTATTTAGCCTGAAGAACTAGAACAGATTATCTGAATAACAGGCTGACTTTCCAGGATCAGGAGCTTAAAAACACATCACTGGTTCTTCAAATACAGCCAGGTACTCAGCATGTTCCCTCGTGAGTGACCCCTGGGGGAATATTATTCTCAAAATTACTAAGACAAATGAAAATTGGAACATCAGTAACACTTCTAGATTATACAGCATTTAGAATTAAGATTAAACAAAAACTAACATAAGAAAATGTACTTATTAATGCAATATTATTATTCCATAAGCCAGAGACTGTTAAGTCAGACAGGAGATGTAGTTGTAGCCTGATAGAGCATGGGAATGTTCTACCATGTGCACCAGCTGAGCCAGCGTCATCTTTAACTGCTGCTGATAGAGACAGTCCTGCAGCCTTTTGCCCATTCCACCCTGGGTTACCGCCCCTTCCTCATGCTGGCTCAGGTGCTCCATTTCCTTTTGGCTCCCTGAATCAGAAAATGAGAAATTCAGGGGAAAAGACAGAACAAGGATGTCTTCCAGTCCTTACGTGCCTAGGCTGGACAGACAGATTTGCCTGACTTTTTCTGCATGGAAGTTCAACAGCAGCTCTGTGTTCATCACACTATTGGACATTTCTTCAATAATTTACAGGGAGGATGAAGGCCTTTAAAGATCAGCTAAAAATATCCTGATAGATAGTTCTATATTTCCATTAACCTCTCCAATTCAAGCAATTTTGTGCATCATTACCAACACCAACCAAAATCAATGGTTGTAATTGAGAGGCAGCAAGCCATTGCATCTCCCATGACCCATGACAGGCTTGTGCCTGACAGGACTGCCAAGGCAAAGTGGATGCACAGCAAATGACCTCCCTCAAATACAGCCAGGTATTCAGCCTGCTCTCTTAGGAGTGATTCAATGGAGAACAGCTCAAGCTAGTAATTGAAACAGCATCATGCTTTCTGTATAACATCATGGGCCATGAAACTATAGAAACCCTCTTTCATGTATCCTCTGCTGTGTTTCTATACTGGTTGATCATTAGCAAAGACAAAATACTCCTCATTTCTCTTACATACAAAATGTTGATATTGCTTTAAGCTGTCAGCTACACTAGCAAACACCATGATTTGGTTATCCACCTTAGCAGGGATTATCTCTTATCAGGAGAAAGTCTACTTTTCCAGAACAATGGGAACAAGAGTCTCCTATGACAAATAAAGTTGTAGCTGACTGTGGGGCTCTTGGGAAGCATGGCCCTGTGTAACAGGATAGAGACAGCCTGTAGTCTTTTTAGTTACATCAGTCACCATGTTGTCTCAATATACAATGCAAGCAGGCTGCTTTCGGAAGGGTATTTCTCTCAAATAAATAAAGCTGTGTGCAAACATGAGTCTGAAAGAAAAAGAAATGCCCTGCAGGATTTTTGAAGTCCTCTCAGTTTGATGCCATTGGATTAACCTCCTAGCAGCAAAGAAAAATTAGCTGTATTTGTGCAGGTTTGGACCTTCCAGAGTTTGCTCGTGAGGAGGTGTGGTCATGTGGAATGCTGCTGGCTGACAGATAATATATCTGAAAAAAGACTTTGAAGTTTACTTGAATAGACCTTACATCAGGCATTCAGAATCACTGCAGCTGTAAGCTCAACTTGAAAAAAATTAGAAAGTTACTTTACTATCAAATACATATTTTGTACCTAGTCTGAAGCTTTTTCCACTTGCAGGTGCTTACAGTCTTCTACCTGTTGTTATGGGTAGATGAGTGCCACAGGAATAGATGGAAAGTAAAGCTTGACTCTGCTTTACATTCTTTATCTAGAGAAAGCATAAACAGTCAAGGTAAATAATAATACTGGTAAGCATGGTAAATAACAGAGACAAGTTCTCATTCTAATTTACTGTTGGAACACACTTGGCTCAGTTTTGTACTTGTGATATTTTAAACCAGGGAGAATTCCATGTAAGGCAATAGTGACACTTGGATTGGAAATACAACAATGGAACAAAACTCACTGGAACCATATACATGTTTGAAAAATTAGTTGAGCAAGAATGTTTACATCTTGGTTTCTTTTCCCCTCTTTAGTTTGGAAATCTGAGTTTAGAGATTCCGAAGCTGAAATAGGGCAGAAATGGAGAGAAAAATGGCTGACAACTTCAGCTTGATCATCGTTTTCAAAATCTCAGAGCCAACAGCAACACCTGTTTTTGAGAGGACTACAATACAGTCCTTAGATTTCTCCTCACCTCTGGGATTAAGAAATATTTTGGCATGAAGTGCACATGTGGAACAGATGCCTGACGACCTCTGCTCCATGCAGTACTCCTCTGTGGCTTACAAGAAAGAGCAAGGACTCTGCATGTTCCCTAAGCTTACCTACATGTGCATTTTAAATCTCTGCTTTTCTTGCAAAGTTATTTGCACGACAAAAAGATAAACAACAGCGGGTACTGAGCAACACCTACTTTCTGTGGACCATCTCATGTCAGACTGGAAAGAAATCTCTGCCTGTTTTAATGGAATTTCCTGTAAGGGTTTCTGTGCTGAGTCACTGCCAAGAGCGCATCACTGTGTTTCTTTGTCGTTCGTTACCTAGTGCTACTCGTAATAGAAAGAAATTAACTAAAATAAAAAACCCAAAGTGTTTGCTGGAACAAACTGGGTGAGCTTGTTCTCTCCTTTAAATTAAGATTCTTTTTTTCCTGGTTGCTCTGAAGAATCTGCTTTACTATGGTCAGTAGAAATGATAACATTTTTCATTTGTATTATGTTTTCTTTTACTAGACTATGCAGGCATATTTTCTTGTTTTTTCTATAAACATATCCACTAAGAGAAAGCCCCTCTGACCTGTTCTGGACTCATCCAAGTTCTATTGACTCATCCTTTCAGCATAAGTCATCTGCACACGATTTATCCACCTACAAAGGTAGTTTCTACTACTATTTGCTAATATTTTGCCTTTCAGGTGAAGCACAGGAATACAATAAAGGAAAGAAAAAAAAAAAAAAGAGGTGTTCCTTCTCTCACACTGCTTTTACCAAGGCAGGTTGCAAGTCTTGTTCTCCTCTCACTCACCCCAGGAACTCCCCCAACATTTGCTATTCAGGAGTTCAAGTTTTAAGCTGGCAGAATGCCAATAAATTCATTAGTGGCACACTGGATAACAGATCAGACCAAATCCTCAGGGATTAAAACAACATTTTAACGGTAATATTTGATGGCTAGAAGAAATTAAACTCTGTCTGGCCTGAGCTGTCTCAGGGGGTCCAAGTACCCACATGTAGTAGATAATATAATAAACTGTTACCTCCCCTCGTAGGCAGCTTTGGGAGACCAGATGTCTCTTGCTTTAGTAGCTATCTGCAAATTGAAGTGTGCAAAGCTAACATATTTTTGCAGTCACCTCACCACTTACTTTTGGGATTTGACTTTTGGCTAAAATTATCAGGTTCCATTAATCCTGAAAACCTCTTAGCACTGAAGTGAACTGAAAACCAGAATCCAAACCTCTTGTTACTAAGAAGTTACTTGGGAATCCACCTTGCTTGCTTTTCTTGTGCACCTGCAAGTACAGCTTCTTTTGTTTGTTCTGAAAACTGATTAAAAAAAAAAAAAAAGAAAAAAAGAAAATGAAAAAAGTATCACACGCAAACGCTGTGTGGGATATGCCCTGAAATGAGCAAGTGCCTGTACCAATAAACCACGGCTAGTGGCACCAGGTCGTTCCCACCCACGGGGCTGTGTGGCCATGGCTGGGATGCCCTGGAGCAGCTTTGTGGGTCACTGTGATGTGAGTCACCGCTGCACAGGGTGCGGCTGCGCCGTTCACAGCCGTGCAGGACACTGCTGGCTGGGACACTGCCGTGCCGAGCGGTCCTGTGCAGGACATGGCTGTGCGACACCACTGTGAAGGACATTGCTCTGTGGCTCATCACTGCATGTGCAGGAAGGACATGGCTCTGTGAGACATTGCTGTGGGGGGGTCACTGGAGTGTGGGACACTGCTGATGGGGGACATTGCTGTAAGGGTCGTCACTTAGACGAACTGCCATGAGGACGACATTGAAGGTCATCCTGTGTAAGTTCCTGCAGGTGGGACATGGCTCCTGCTGTGCAGGACATCCTGACACAGAACATGGCTGTGTGGGACATCGCCAGCTGTCCTGCCACGCGGATCCCGCGGGAAACACCCACAACCTGGCACGACACCCCCGGAGACACGTACCCGCCCCAGCTGCCGCTGCCCCCGCACCCCGAAGCCTTGCCGCGGCAGCTGGGCCGCTGCCCGAGCGGGCAGAGCAGGGCAG